TGATGGAGACTGGTAAACGTCAATCATTTATTTGGATGAACATTAGAATTTTCATGTAGAACAGGTGTGGTATGTATTCATAAATAAAATTTTCAATAGAGCAAGCAATAATAGATACATAATTACTATGTAAATATGATGGAAAACAGACATTTTTTACCAAATAATTTATTTTCAAGAGTTTGCTCATATCTATATTTATTTGTTAATTATTTATTTATTTATTTATAAAACAGCTTATCAGGCATTACAACTTTAAAATCGATCTCTGACTGACTATCAACACAGTCAAAACCACTAACGAATAATGATACTGCATAACGATGCAACACTAGTAAACATGAACAGCGTCATGGACAGAACACCATAGAATATTGTGACGTCCATAGTATCGGTAGAAATACAAGCGGAACAAAGGAATCCTCAGACTTCTTTTATTATATATATTGCACAATAAAACTTTGTACAAATGGCGAATTTAACTATATAGAATATATATATATATATATATATATATATATATATATATATATATATATATATATATATATATATATATATAGGACTAAATATAGCATAATTAGCTATGTATAAACTTGATTCTAGTTCTTTTTTGTTTGAAAATTGCCACAATATTGTATACCTCTCTACCAGCTGATATTGATGCTCCTTTCCACTTTGAGTTTGCTGGAAGAGAACTCTTTTAAAGTTAAGCTCGCCTTTGTACATTTATTTTCCTTTGCCATATTTTTAAATACTGTCTGTATGTACAATAAAGTATAAATAAATAAATTATCGACAAGGATTCGACTGAATTATAAAAATCCTCATACCTACAATAAAAAGACTTATTGCTCTTTAGTTGTTTTTGCCAACACACACAATTTACTCTTTACTTCTTAAACGGAATACTAAATTTCAATTCTACTGTTTAGTACATTTTTCCCAGACAGTTATCCCCTTTGCGTCGGCCAAATCCCGCTCAAATATTTAAACCGGAACCACAGGTATAAAATTTTATTCCCCTATTTGGCAGGAACCGTGGGAAATTCTCGTCTCCAATATACTTGTAGTTTAATTTTGGAAGGCTCTTATTTTACTCAGAGTAAAAAGCGTATTTCGAGAAAGAAATATATCATACTTAATAAGATTTATGTATTGAAATTCATATTTATATCATCTTTATTTCAATAGACTTGTTTACAAGCACTTTTAAATTGTATAATTGTGTAATTTTTTTTTTTTACGAATTTAGAAAGAGAGCGTTCGGAAAGTTGTTATCTGTTGAGAAGAGCCCGCAAGAAACTCAACAGTTATTCATTTAAATCTCTGTTAACATTATGTGTATGTATTTAAACTTACTATGTCTATAATTACATGGTCCAACACCATGCACGCTTATCATTCCAGTAATCATTTAGTGTGTAATAGGGTTTGTTCAATAAACTTTTTTTTAAATAACAGTTTTAACTTATTAAAAGGTTGATCCAAAATATCCTTCGGTATCTTATTATAATATTTAATGCCCATTCAAATAAAAAAACCTATTAAGTTTTTCTAAACGATAAAATGATATTAATTGCTCTATACAACCTAAAGTCGTTTGCTTGGGCACCTCTGTCCCATTCATGTTTCTACAATGAAGCAGTTGTGTTTGCATGGCTGTGTTTCGATTTGAAGGGTAGGATATGGCAGTGAATTCATTCAGGGTACAGAGGAAAAACGTCCGAGCCCTCAGGAATGCCAACGCATGGGAGGTATCATAGGCGAAACAGTATACTCTGTTATGTCCATGGTACTACTCATGTATATAGGCGACGGTTACCACTTCCAATCAGGTGGGCCGTCAGCTTGTTTGCCATTCTAAGTTGTATAAAAAAAAACTTAGTAAGTCTCAATAAAGTTTAATATTAATGCAGATATCTACTTAATAATGAAATCTGAGAACGAAAAGCATAAATAAAGCATAAGTTGCATAAAAAAAAAAAAAAAAAAAAAAAAAATAAAGCTATATATAAAAATAAATAGAATAGAATAGAATAGAATAGAATAGAAAATCATTTATTCAAATAAACTTACATTGAAGCACTTTTGAATAGTCATTACATTTTTTTTAATCTACCGCTCGTTCGGAAAGCTGTCTCATCACAAGAAGAACGAGCAAGAAACTTGCGTGTTGCTCTTTTAAATAATTTTATTATTACTTTACATTTTTAAGTTTAAGTGTGTGAATACAAACCACCAATTAGCACTAATTCAATTAAATACTCAAAAAGAAAAAATATTGAATACATAACCAACTGGTTAAACAATTAATAAGAGGAAATCAGTCATAGTGATTAGAGCAGACCAGTCCCTACAAGCAGCACCCGTTCACGAGTATGACGGATGAGCCAGCCATCACTGCGCTCGACCATATTTTAGGGAGCCCAATGACCCGGCCCACCACGCCGCCACAAGTCTGGACATTTTAGTGAGCATGACTACTCAAAACACTAGACCACGTCAAAGCTACTCACAATTGCCATCTGATAGTTATAGTATTCACATTTTACATAAGAATGCATGCGGCAATTAATACAAAAACCGCTACGCTTTCATCAACAACAACGCTTTTCAATCGAAGGGAACAAACAATAATGATGTTATTCCCTTTTTGTAATTATGTTTTTGTGAGATAAAACAAGCATTAGAAGTAATTAGATATTTTCGTCTCCATGTTTATGTGTACCTTTATGTGTATTTTTAAAATATTATTCTAAAAAAAAAAACTGCTCTGTCTTATTTTTAGATTATAGTGCGTAAATACAGTGATGGTTGAATGGTAACCCCGCCTACGCTATCGACATACGCTGGCGAAGCACCAGTGAAAGACGATAGGTGAGAATCAAAAGGCTGGTCAGTTAGCCCACCGTGATGAATACATCTGGAATTCAGCACGATGGCTTCCAAGAGGGACTACGGGGAGCTCGACCTGATAGGATATATTGCTAGCAATGGGACTGACAGTCCGCATTACTAACAATCCCTTTCCCCCCTTATATAGTGGTGGTTGGATTACTATGATGTAGTCCACCGTAAAAATTGTTAAAATTGTGTTAAAAAAAATAAATTAAACCTTTATAATTTAATTTGTTACTTTACTTAGAATCCATAGAATCGTAATATGTTTCAGATATTGTTTTTCGTCGTATATTATTTATTATTACCAGTGGGAGACTTTGTACTAAAGTCGATTGCTTGGGTACCTCTGTCCCATTCGTGTTTCAACCGTGAAGCAGTTGTGTTTGCATGGCTGTGTTTTGGTTTGAAGGGTGGGATATAGCGTGAATTTACTGGGTACAGAGGAATAACACCTGAGTCCTCAGGAATGGCAACGCATGGGGGTGTCATGGGCGAAACAGTATACTCTGTTATGTCCATGCTTACTGCTCATGTCTATAGGCGACGGTTACCACTTTATATCAGGAGGGCCGTCAGCTTGTTTGCCATTCTAAGTTGTATAAAAAAAAACTTTTATTTATTTTACTTTAATGCATTCATATACATAATATAGAGGTTTCATTTTTCTTAAAAGTAAGTACATGAACCCTGTTTATGTACAGCAAAATTTTTTCGATAGATACCTAAATAATATCGATGTCAATTTACCCAAAAATGTGTAAAAAAATACTAAATCTGACAACACTGAGGACAAAACAAATGTACATACTTTTAGATTTATTATTTATTTAGCTAAATGTATTATTTAGTTACACAATAATGTAATGAAATAATGAAGACTCCATTGTCTATAAAAAACGACATTAACGCTAGAACTCGCCAAACAAGTCTTTTCATTAGCGACTCTAATTACGTGGTGTCTAATTAACATTCGCTCAATAGTTCTTAGTACAGAGTGAAGACAATACTCACTTCAGTAACAAGTAAGTGTTCGATGTAGGAAGTAGGTAATCAAATGTGAAAAATAATCCGATTTTTAAACGACTGTCTAAAAAAGTAGATAGATAGATAGATACCCTTTATTGTTTTCTCCAAAAGATTACAATAAACTTATAAATATAAACAATTACATTATATTAAACTATATATTATACTATATATATAAATTATAGTAAACTTATAAATATAAATAATTACAAGAAACAATCACAATGAGAAAACAATGGGCGACCTTATCGCTAAGAGCGATCTCTTCCAGGCAACCTTTGGATGGAGAGGAGTAATTATAAACAGTTTGATTGGAGGCACGATGAAATTCTATTTTTTTATATAGAGAATAGTGGTGTAATATAATAATATAATATCTAAATTCATGTGAACAAAGCCGCAAGTTACGCCTAGTTCTATCATAAGACACTGTAACATTCCATTTTAATGTTTACAGCCGTCTGTACTCGGAAATCGTTTTAAAATCGCTAAAGAAGTAATTTCAATGGAGACTACATTGTAAAAAGTTTAATCTTTTTAATTTTGCACAAATATACAACAAGAACTGCCAACACGTTTCATATTGTTTTATTACTTAGATTATGTAGATAGAATGTCCCCGTACAAATGCTTCTGACACACACATCAACATATTTATCCATGTGTGCGTAAATAGGGTTACCAGTATTAAGAGTTATTGCTAAGTGTGTGGGAGATATTTATAAGATTAAATTAGAAAATAAAAACAATACAAAATTCTTATGTATATATTTTAAACAATAAGATATATAATAATGTTTACGTATACTGAACACTTTGATTTACATCTGTGTACAGACATAAAATATGTTTTCGTTTTTAAATCATTAAAAATGGCAGCCACTTTAAATAAATTACTAGCAAGCTGTCGCAGCTTCGTATGGTTTATTTCTTTACAATTGAAAGAATCTTTCAAATCGGTTTTAAACATATTTTGAGTTTATTTATTACAAACAAATAAATCAAATTTTTCCCCCTTTAAAATACGTGAATTATTTAAAAAAAAAAAAAACATTGCATGCGATACTTACTGGGATCATTATAGCATGCCTGTTGGAGATTTAACGGGATACCTGAAAAAAAAGATTTTGACATTAAAATAAAGTTAATATGGTTACGACTTTTATCCGTAAAGGAGTAATCAGGAGCGTTTGTCGATTATTACCTACCGTTGGTTAACGTAATAAATTTAACATAGTTAAATTTAGTTAATTTAGTTTAGTTAGTTAACATAATACTAGTTAATATCAAATAATTAGTATTTGAACGATTAGAATTATTTTGTTTAATTCCGCTATCATTAGTGACTGCCAACACTCGAGAATTTTCGATCGTCATTACTATCAGAAGTTCTACAATCGGCTATATAAGCCCTCAGTCTCCGAATGTTATTCCGTCCACGCACAAATTGCGAAATGTGTTTTACCTCCAAACGAGGCATCTTTAGGGAAATTATTATATTGAATGTGAACCGTTCGGCATCCAAACTGCGAAAACTTTTGCAATCGCGCTTTGAGTGGTGGTTAACATATAGGAAGGTTGTAGAACTTCTGGTAGTAATAATGGTGATCAATCTTTGACTGTTGGCAGTCACACACATACTAATGATAGCGGAATTAAACAAAATAATTATAATGTAATAACCAGTGATATGGACTTCCGCAAAATAACATATATTTTAGTAAAATATACATATAACATAATAACTAGATATGAATAACATATTAACTAGATATGACCACATACCGTCATGATGATTTCCAGGGGAAACTGCGTGTAAGTCGACCTGATAGGGTATATTGATAGCAATGGGGACTAACCTCCCCATTAATAACAATCTCTTTCCCCAGAAAACGCTATATTAAAACATACAATCCAATATAAATAGTCATTAATACAAATATTTTATACTGTGCAATATCTGGAACCCGTGGTCATCGTAAGTTTAAACAGTATGTCAAGCCGCTGGATTACCAATGTCATCTTTCACTGTCAAATTAGATCAGGGTAACGATATGTTGTCTTATAAGCGACCTTCTTACCATAAGTTTGTACCAGCCAGCGAGATATCGCTTCAAATAATGCCAGGGTCTTAGATCCCACAGGGCCAGAGTCTCCACGCCTAACGCCGTAAATATGTATCCATTCTCGAGGGATGAATATTTACAGCGCTTGTTGGCTACGCTGTGGCTTTACCAACCAATATTTATGTAGTAGAATTAAAAATAATACGCTATAGTAGTGAACGACCCTGACTTCGCACGCTTTTTTTTTTTAAATTAAAATACAACCTATGTCACTCGCTGGTAATGTAGCTTTCTATATTCAGAAGAAACTTTTAAAATTAGGTAAGTAAAACGACCTAAAAGCATTTGAAAGGGATTGGTTTTTTGAGGTAGCGCTGAAGAGGAAGTTTTAGAAGAAGATGGAAGAAACCTTTGCCCAGTAATAGGACATCATGGGTTAATAATAGAATAATAATAATAATATTTATTAAATCCAAAAATACATGTTACAATTTTACATTTGCTCCCAAGACTTCACACTAGGAATCCCTGTGTCGTGAAATCTTGGGCCCTTTTTTACTTAGAAAACTCAATAACTAATATATAAACTTTAGAATAGAAAAGAAAGTATTGAGTATATCCGTTACATGATCGTGATTATGATGTCTTCCTTTTATCCCTTAAAAGCGATATAGGATTCGCAAAAGGGTCTTCTATTTTTATTTCGATCTTAAGCAATAAGTCCCAGTTCTTCCCAGCTAAGACCAGTTGATGCAGCCTCTTTTCAACTTATCGCTTCTCTTTTGTTCTAGAATAGTTGGGTCTTACTTAGGGGGAAAAGGATTTTTAGCAATGGAGTTTGACAGCCCCACTGCTAGCAATATACCTTATTAGGTCGACCTCCACGTGGTTCCCCCTGGAAACCATCGTGAACAATTCTTGTTGAATTCGTCACGATGGGCTAACTGACCTACTTCATCCTCACCTATCATATCCTTCACTGGTGCCCCGCCGGTGTATACCGATAGCGCGGGTGTGGTTACCATTCCATTATCATCCATTTAAAAAGAAAAAAGTTGGGTCTTACAGATAATAACAGAAGTAGACGGAGACATATTGCGAGGACCTCAATCGCGGAGGAGAGCCTCATCGACGATCCACTGTCATTGTAAAAGCCACGACCACTCTGTCCAGAGTATACGACTGAAGAGAGAGAGTTGGGTCTTATTCTTCCACCTGCCCACCACATAAGACTCTACTTGCATAATTGACTGTCCAGTCTCCGCAGCACCATATCCATTCATTACATACAATAAATTTGCAAAATTTTGCTTCACTTAGTAATTTTATTAAACACAATGTATTCCGTTCTCGCACAGTAAAAAAATATCAGTTTTAATTTCCTTTGTCACAAAGATGTTTTAAATATTTTACTGAACTAGTTGTTATTTTGCGGAAGTCCATGTCACTGGTTGTGGTATCAGCCATTAACTGGCCACTACTGAACGAAGTCTTCCCATAAGGGAGGGTTTTGCCAATAGTTGCCACGCCTTGCAGGCGGATTGATAACCGCAGTTAGGCTTTTAGTGACGTTTTAAGAAGGACACTGCTGCCAATCCCTCGCACTCCCTTAGACGCCTCTTAGCACACCTTTGGTAAAAAAAAAGAGGCGGCCCATTCTAAGCTGGAATTTACACAGCTAATAATGTCATTAATTAGTTGATTATTGTAGAATTAAAAAAAGTATAAGCAACTAATGATTATTTACTAATCAGTAATGTATTTTATGAAATTAGTGTGAAGTCAGTTCGAGAGTAAAATCTGTAGAATGTAAACATAATTTCATAGTTAGAGAAGATATCACATAATGTACAAATATACAAATATTGATCAAAACACATTGTACGTGCATCACGTACCTTCCTTCCTTGCACATGAAGTTTAAGAAATAAGCTCCCTTTTGAAGTATTCCCAAAGCGATACGTATGGAGCTTTTGAAAAAGCAGCTTACAGACTTTTAAAAGACAGACAAAGTACTGACAATCCCTCTTATATTGCAAGTATTCTTGTAAGGAAGTAACAACTTTCCACCAGGTAGACCATCAACTCGTTTGCTTTTCAAATATTTGTTAGAAATTGAATTGTAAAAAAGCGAGAACATATGCATTTTCTGCATCTATTAAAAACAGCTTCCTATGGTTGAAAGATATGAAAAAGGATTCATTGAAAGTGGTCAAGAACATTGCGGGTTCAAGCGCTATAATATAAGAGGCGCTTACCATAGGGTAATTTTGCTAAAAAGTCACCTGCGTGGTACCTCTGTCCCATTCGTATATCTACCGTGTTTCCATTTGTAAGGTGATTATAGTGGATAGTAAAATTACAGGGTATGGAGGCATAACACCATCATCATCGTCATCATCTCAGCCATTATCTGTCCACTGCTGAACATAGGCATCCCCCATAGGTCGCCATAAGGAACTGTCCTGGGTCACCTGCATCCAATGACTTCCTGCAATGCATTTGAGGTCATCACTCCATCTAGTGGGGGCTCGTTCTATACTGCGTTTGCCCATAAGGGGCTACCACTTAAGGACCTTTCCTCCCCGTCGGTTGTCGGTTCTTCGAGCTATGTAACCAGCCCATTGCCACTTCGGCTTGCTTATCCTTCGGGCTATGGCATAGCAGCATTCCCTTCAGTAATGTCAAATCATGAGGGGCATTATAGTGCATTGTGGGATATATAGAAACCGCATAATATAATGGTACTGTTCACGCCTATAGGCGATGGTTACCACTTCTCATCAGGCCCGCCGTCAGCCTGTCTGCTGTTCCAAGTATTATATTTTTTTTTTACAGCCAACAGAACGTAACATAGGTACAATGAAATATGTATACGTACATTGAATTTACAACTTGTTTAAACGAAAGTAACTCTTAATTACTGGAGCATAGGGTTGTTATTTCGTTCACTGCTTACGATTCTAAACGTAAAACAAAATGCTAATTTTATTCCGTGACAACTGAATACATAAAAAGTCAATGAATTGCAATAATTGAATTACTTGCACGATTTAACGAGAAAAATTGACATGTACGCTCTGTTACAACCCTAGCATATAGACATTATTGTCGACTAGCAATATTTATTTATTTAGTCATAGGAAAACCAGGGCTACACTACAGCAAATAGATACAGTTTTAGTATAACAAAATAATAGGTTTTCACAAATAGCAACAATATAGATACAAGGCGCTGTACACGTAGCACCAAAAATGGGAGTTAACAAAAAAAAAGTGAACAAATAAGAGGAATAAAAACAAAAAGAAAAAATAATAATGACAAGTAAAATCCAAATTAAAGATTAAATGTAAATATTTGACCAAAATATGGCCTTTTTATCCATACAATAGTAATTCAAACTGACTATGAATTAAAAAATTGCTCATTAAATATCATTTATTTCCATGTAAATCAGCTGTATTATGCCTATATAAACTCATACAAACTCTAAATCAGTCAGCCGTAATTTAGCTAGCCAAATTACTGTCTAGCTACGGACCTGGTTTCTGCCCGCCGGTTGGGCCAGTAAAACTAACTAGTTACATTCATGCAGGCTCAATAAAACACTGAAACAAGGGTCTCGCGCGTCACGAGTCAAAGTGGACCTGTAAATTAGTAAAAGTGTACTATTAGCTGTGTATAAAAGAAAATATTAAATAAATAATTTCGGTATGTCGGATTTTTTTTTATATTTTTTTTACAACACAGGGGGCAAACGAGCATGCGGCTCACCTGATGGTAAGTGACTACCGCCGCCCATGATCACCCATAAAGGCATTGCAGGTGTGCTGCCGGCCTTTTAAAAAGGAATATACTCTCTTTATATTAAACAAGTGTCCCGCACTAACAGCTCGCAAACTCATTTACAAAGTAGTTGTTACCCTCAGATTTCCTCTTTTTCTTATATAACACTAGCGACTCGTCCCGGCTTCGTGCGGGTACACATTACATCACGTCACGTTAGAAACCTCTAAATTTATCAGTGTTCCTGTACAATATTATGCATGTATTATACATTATAAACCTTCCTCTTGAATCACTTTATCTGTTAAAAACACCGCTTCGAAATCCGTTGCGTAGTTTTAAAGATTTAAGCATACATAGGGACGGACAGACAGCGACAGCGACTTTGTTTTACACTATAGAGGGCAAACGAACATGCAGCTCATCTGATGGTAAGTAACTACCGCCGTCCATGATCACCCGCAATAACAGAAGCATTGCAAATGTGCTGCCAGTCAAATTCCTCATGTGAATTAAAAACGATTTAAAAAATCTTGTATCAACACATAGAAATGTTGACTGGTAAAGAAATACTAGCATTAAGTCCGCTTTTTGTACCATATTTTCTTCTTATCACTTTATATCATTAAGCCTAAACATTTTTCTATCTAACTTAGAATGACATAAGCTGATGATAATTCCGCCTGCGATATTGCTGCACGCTGACCATAATTAGCCCATCGTAACGAATTCACCAAGAATTAACCATGATACTTTCCATGGAGGGTTAGGCGGACGTCCACCCAACTGGATATAAGTAATTAAGCTAAATCATAAAAATGACAACATGGCTGTTAGATCCTATTACTTCCAATTGCCTGCTCTCCTTCCCAATAATACAAAGATTTCGAGGATATATTTTTTCAAATCTAGAAGATAGGATCAAGCTGGGGTGCATCTTTAGTGTTACAGACGTCCACAGGCTACAGTAACCGTTTCTATTAGATTGGCTGTATGCCTGTTTGCCACCTTCGTGGTGTAAAAAAAAATAAGGTCGACTCTCATGGGATCCCTCCCAAAAAATGTCTTGGCTAATTTTCAGTGAATTCGGCACGATGAGTTAACTGACTTTCATCTTCACCTATCATCCCACAAAGGTACCCCACCAGAGTATACTGTTACTGCAGGTGGAGTTACTTTTCCATTTTCATCCCATAAAAAAAAATTACAAGGTTAGGGCCATTCACTATGAAAGGATAAATTTATTTGTCTTAAGATTGACAGGTTGAAATTGTGGACGATGGCGCAACCACCTCCTACGCTGTACATTATAATTATTTACATGTTAAAGTCTCTAATGAATAAATTAATGTGATATTTCTGTGACGTTATTTCTAATAAATATTCATGAACATACAGATTTAGAAGCATTTAACCGGGATAAATGACTAACAGTTTCCTAAATAACAACAATGACAAGTTGGTGTACATTTTACTCCGTTAAAAATAACTAAAAATCGTGACAAAATATAACGACGAACGATGAAATGTTTCATAGATACTAGATAGGTTATAGTTTTTACCAGAGAGAGACTTTGTACAAAAGTCGATTGCTTGGGTACCTCTGTCCCATTCGTGTTTCAACCGTAAAGCAGTTGTGTCTGCATGGCTGTGTTTCGGTTTGATATGATGTGAATTTACAGGGTACAAAGGAATAACACCTGAATCTTCAGGAAGGACAACGCATGGGGGATATCATGGGCAAAACAGTATACTCTGTTAGGTCCATGGTACTGCTCATGTCTATAGGCGACGGTTACCACTTTCATCAGGTGGGCCGTCAGCTTGTTTGCCATTCTAAGTAGTATAAAAAAAGATACATTAATTTTAAAATGTATGTGTAATTTAGAATACAAAATGTGTTTGTAAAAATACATTAGATTTAAAATGTTTGAATTTAAAACACGGAATGTATTTGTAAATGGAATGGAATGTTGTTTAAATTTAGAACTCGAAATATATGTTTCATAGATTTATTCGATTTAAAGCATTTGAATTTAGAACGCGGAATATATTCATATTTATACTGCCAGTACTTGCCATGTTTGGCTTGCGTATTAACAATCGCTATTAAGCTTTGGAGATGTTTTAAGAGAGACGTTGCTGCCCATCTCTCATCTTCCCTTAGTCGCCTCTTACGACTCACACGGGAAAGGAAAGGGGTGACCTATTCTATGTCAGGACCATATGGGGACATAAAAATATATATACAACAAAAAATTATACTCGTTTAATCAGTTTATCATAAAAAAAATTGCTATACCCTCAGAGATTCATAGTAAATATTTGCATACTGAACGAAAAATATTTATGTTATGATTGAATTAATGCAGAGGAAAGGAACACCGTATAAATCAAGGTACAAGAGTTCATATGACAGCACACTGAATAGATAATAGGAGCAAATAGGATTATCCCATAGTACTAAAAGGCTTTTGTATTTTCTGCGAAGGAATCACGGGATTTTCTTTATGGGTTTAGAGATAATAGAAACAAAATCTTCTTTTTACTGACTCGGGAATGTGTGGGGCTAGAAACGTTAAATGAAATAATGTTGAATTAACTTAATAGATGAATAAATGAAGAAAAAGGACTTTTTGAAAGAAGTACTTTGTAAAAATATTTGGTTTGAAGAGATAAGGCAGTAAATTGCATTGCAAGCTTAGATTTTTTTTTTGATGGGTGAAAATGGTATTGTGACCCCGCCTGCGCTAACGGGATACGCTGGCGGGGCACCAGTGAAGGGTGATAGATGAGAATGAAAACAGGCCAGTTAGCCCATCATGATGAATTCATCAGGAATTAACCATGATAGTTTCCAGGGGGAACCGCTAGGAGGTCGACCTGGTTGGGTATATTGCTAGCAATGGGATTCTTAGTCACCATTACTAACAATCCCTTTCCCCCCAGCTTAGATTATTGGACTTATATAGATTGAGCATCAAGCCACAAAAACGGGTCAACTTTTTGTCAGCTAATTGTCAAATTAGCTGACTCGTTTTTTTTATTTGTTCTATATACTTACGCATACAATGTATCTTGACGTATTATTTAATAAATAAAATGAATATGTACGCATCAAAAAGATGCAGAATTTATAAGACAAAATAAATATAGAAGTTATAAAGGAATCACTCATAACTATTTATCACGCAAAATTGTATGAAAAAGTTGACCCGCTTTTCTCGAAGCATATCTATGGAGACACTATATATATAATCTATGGGTAGTTGTAAAAATAAACATGACTTAGTTGTTTTTTTTTTTTTATGCAACTTAGAATGGCAAACAAGCTGACGGTCCACCTGATGGAAAATGGTAACCATCGCCTATAGACATGAGCAGTACCATGAACATAACAGACTATACTGTTTCGCTCATGATACCCCCCATGCATTGCCATTCCTGAGGATTCCGGTGTTATTCCTCCGTACCCAGTAAATTCACGCCATAATTAATATTAATATAATTCATTTAATAATCATGGGTTTTTACCTCTCATACATAAATATTCACTACATACAGATTAAAATAAATCCTCATTAATACAGTAAGCAATTCAGGAAATTTGGCGAAAAACACATGTGTGAGTTCGAATTTGAATTCAATTAAACTCAATTGTATATATATTGACGACGTTTCACCGCGGAAACATTGCATTTTTAATTAATATTACATTTGTATGACGGAATTAATATTCATGACCAATTAACCACTGATTTATATCTACCCCCAGAGTCAACGAGTTTCGGTTAAACGCCTCCGACGTTTTGGTCACAGACCGGTTATAAAATATTTGAAACGGACGAGTTTAAAATATATTGTAAAAAAAAAAATGACACACAAACGTCTGTTCGGAAGCGGGTAATTTCCCCTTTCAAAATTGGCGAATCCTTATTTTCAAGTTTAAATTAAAGATTTTTTTTTTCTATTTTTCACACAACATGGAATCGCAATTGTTGGGTATAGACATAAATGTTACCACGGAAATGAATATTTATTACCATTATATCATTGACTGTCCACTGCTGAGCATAGACTTTCCCACACAAGAGACGTTCTGCCAGTAGTTGCCACGCTTGGCAGGCGGCAAACGCAGTTAGACTCTGGTGTCGTTTTAGGAGGGACGCTGCTGCCCACTCGTCGACACTGTAACAACCATGGTAACCCTGCTTTACCATTGGATGTATTGACAGCCAACTTCTTCTAAAAAACTATTTTTCATAATAGAATGCAACGAAGATGACTTCAAAGTAATCACTATATCTTACTTAATTTTGGTTTTATGTTAAATAAGAATCACGTTATTGTAAGAATAAATTCTTTTCTTTAGTTTCTCTCTTTTCTCTTCTTTTTTTTATTTTTTATTTTCTCTATTCCCTCTTTTCTATCTTTGCTCTACTTTCTTTCTTTTCTTTATTTCTCTCTTTTCCCTTTCATCTGTATTATCTCTCCTTTCTTTCTTTTCTCCGTTTTCTTTCTTTACTTTTAGTTTCTTTCTTACCTAATAGCTTAAAAGATCAGCGAGCTAAATTAATAATAAAATAGTCATTACAGTTAATGTAAATTATATTCAATGTAAATTATATTCAACGTGAATTAATTCTATATTGAGGTAACACAATAGATGGATAGATGAAATTGTTTATTCACCATAAAATAATTGACAATTCATCGCATTGTTTAAAACACTCAAAGACACTTTGATTCTGTTTCATTCAATGATATTCTACGAAAGTTAAATCCATCTCGAACAAATCCAGCTGTTTGTTAATGTGTTAACCACACATTCTCAGACGGCGCCTACTTATTTAAAAAACCTCTTCAGTTCTCGTATCCAAATGAAATGTTGTGTTTAAATTCAGTTTAATACCGATATTCGGGATAATATCAGTAACGCCTTAACATCCATATATTGGGTTCTCCTATACATTTATAATAAAAAAGCTTACCCATTACAAAAAAAAAAATCTTTTACTTATAGAATCACGCTTGTAAATACACTTATCCACCACGCTTTGGAATCAACTTCTAGCAGCAGTATTTCCGAACCGATATAACAACATAACCTTCAAGAAAAGAGTATATTCCTTTTTAAAAGGCCGGCAGCATACCTGCAATGCCGCTGGTGTTGTGGGTGATCATGGGCGGTGGTAGTCACTTACCAGCAGGTGAGCCGCAAGCTCGTTTACTCCTTGTGTTATAAAAAAAATTGTGAGTAATATAGGTTGTATTTTATATTGAAAACAACCGTATGAAGCCGGGGTAAGTCACTAGTATAGTATAATTTACTTAACTTTACTAAATTCTTGGTTAGTTGATTATTTTTTTTTAATACATCTAATGGTATCTGTTATTTATTTATTTATTTATTTAGAATATAATATCAAATGGAGGCGAATGTAATGGACACACACAATGCATTTTATTTATATTACTTTTTATTATTATTTTTAATAAGGAATTTCGCGACTGACTCTTGGCCACAACAGAATATCAGTGTTTTGCTCTTTTGAGGGCAAAGCAATAAACTGAGTTGTGAACATTTTGTGTTACTGTGGCACACGCATGAAGGAAAGGAAAGAAAGGAAATTGTTAGTTTATATATTTTGTTTCTTTTTTGTTTTGTTGCTTTTTTATTTTCATTCTTTTATCTCTTTTACTGTATTGGAAAGGATAAGCTGGACGGAAAAACTAACGAACGAGGAAGTCCTGAAAAAAGTAAACGAGAGGAGAGCGTTGATTGAAATAATAAAGAGTAGAAGAGGCAAAATGCTGGGCCACCTTATACGACATGACGATTTTTTAAGAGCATAATAGAAGGAAAGATAGAGGGCAAAAGAGGAAGAGGAAGACCGAGGATTAACTACATGGGACAGATAAAGGAAACACTAGGCGTCATGTCGTATAGGGAGATAAAGGATGTGGCCTGGGATAGAGCTGGCTGGAGGAAGATGCATGAATTAGTTGCACCGACAAGAGGAAACTCTTAAATGAAAAAAAAATCTCTTTTACTGTTTATTATATGCATGTTTTTTTATTGTAATTTGTGTGCTGTAAGTAATGTAAATAAATTATCTATCTATCTAATATATACTAATGAAATTAACCAAAATTATTCAAATCAATTGGCCAGTAAATTCAAAAAATTCTTCTTCGTAAATTTAATTAAAATTAAAAAAGGATCTTACAACAATAAAACTATAACTAGACGATATCTATAGGTGAAAATTATTTAAAAAACAATATTTTTTAGGAATTTTGTCTGTCTCCGTGTTTAATAATGAAAAAAAAAAATTTAGTTCTTGTTCATACTCCCAGCAAATCCGCTTCGAGCTCATACTGTGTACGTAAATGGTCTACTTGTCTATCTCGCTCTAACAATATATAAATATCTTTTTTTCCCTTCTACATTATCATTCTACATACTGTATAACCTAAGATGAAGACCTATAAATAACTATTGATCGCTTCACTTTGTCGTTGCATTATTAATACAATTTGCATAAATTATTCTAAACGGCAGCGTTGACGTAAGCATCCTTGTTTGCGCAACTTAATATAAAATCCAATACTGTTAATAAAAGTCACGAAACAGCCAAAATATCATTAAGTTCTGATTTCTGCATTAATACCGAATTAATTACAGTATTTCTATTTATATGGAAAAGCAATTATAATTGTTTATATATGTAAGTACACAAATAGATGTTATTTGGAAAATTAAATAAAAATGTATCAAATTGTGAATTAATATTGGCTATTCAAATATTAAATTTTTATTACCATTCGTGTTTCAACCGTAAAGCAGTTGTGAATTTACAGGGTACAGAGGAATAATATCTCAGTCCGGGGGGAATGGGATTGTTTGTAATGGAGTTTGAGAGCCCCATTGCTAGCAATATGCCTTATTAGGTCGACTTCCACGTGGTTCCCCCTGGAAACCATCGTGAACAATTCTTGTTGAATTCGTCACGATGGGCTAACTGACCTACTTCATCCTCACCTATCATCCTTCACTGGTGCCCCGCCGGTGTATATCGATAGCGCGGGTGGGGTTACCATCGCATTAAAAAAAATCTCAGTCCTCAGGACTCAGGGCAAATTTTTTTTATACAACTTAGAATGGCAAACAAGGTGACGGCCCACCTGATGGATAGTGGTAACCGTCGCCTATAGACATGAGCAGTACCATGGACATAACAGAGTATACTGTTTCACCCGTGATACCCCCCATGCGTTGTCATTCCTGAGGACTCAGATGTTATTCCTCTGTACCCTGTAAATTCACGTCATATCCCACCCTTCAAACCGAAACACAGCCATGCAAACACAACTGATTCACGGTAGAAACACGAATGGGACAGAGGTACCCAAGCAAACGACTTTTGTACAAAGTTTCCCTCAGATTCACCTAGTATGGGGCTCATTGTAATTAGTGTTTGTAACTTGTGTGTTTTTTGTCTAAATAATAAATTTCTAATTTCTAATGTAGCACATTGCAGTATTATCAGTTAATGGGCATGATGAATGAGACATGAATGGAGGGAGTTCAAAGGATTAACGCTTTGAACGTCATTAAGCCTTGTTAGTGTCGACTATCGTGGTGTAAAGTTGTAAGGATGTATGTAGTATATAATATCAGTCTATCTATAATACTCGAGTTTCTGACACAAACAAGCTGTACTTCAGTTTATCAGTTTATCTGTATATATATATATATATATATATATATATATATATATATATATATATATATATATATATATATATATATATATATATATATATATATATATATATATATATATATATATATATATATATATATATATATATATATATGTATAATAATTATTTTTTCTCAAACTTGGAAATGTGAGCAATATTTTGACAATCTTCTTCGAGATAAATCAAAATTGCCAATTGGAAATCCCTACCTGTCGTGTTTTGCGGCCATATAAATTACTATGTAAACTCATATCTGTTCTGTAATTTAAAAATGGAATGACCTTTTACTTCGAAACATGGCTACCAAGGAGGTAACTAATAAAAGGTTTTATTTAAATTACGAATTAGCTTACAAATAGAAAGCTGTTTATTGAAAAAAAAACAAAGAAACATTATGGCGCGTGAAAAATTATTACTGTTCGTTATTCGTCATTGAACTAAAAAAGTAAAATTGTGTTTTTGATTTCCGCGCATTGTTTGAAAAAAGTACTATACAAGCCTTGGCCACAACTAGGCATTGATGGACTGACGTATGTGTGCCTCGGCTACGCCTCGGCCCACATTTGCACGTTCGTCCATCAATGCTTTAGTTGCTGGCCGCTGCAGTAATGTACTATTAAAAATTTCTTAATTGAGAGGCAAAACTTATATATTCCAGCAATATACCTCTCTGTATTTGTATGCTAGATGAACTGTCATATTGCCGTTTACTGTATAGATAATCTGGTAGTATTGTTTTATTGTTACCCTATTCCCTTTGGCCGCAACAGAATATCAGTGCTTTGCTCTTTTGAGGGCGAAGCAATAAACTGAGTTGTGACCATTTTGTATTGTTATGGCACACGCACAAAAGGAAAAATTGTACTTGGCTTTTATGTATTTTAGTTTAATCATTTCTCTTACCTCGCTTTTTTTATATCTGTGTCTGTTATAATTTGTAAGCTGTATGTAATGCAAATAAATTATATATACGTACATATATACATGTCTGTCACGGATGTCTTCCATTAGGGTAGGCAAACACAATGGAACGCCAAATGCTTCGATTCTTTGCAGATAAGAAACTTTGCAATAGGTTAATTTTATTTAAAGTCTTTACATTTTCTCATTCAATATTGAAAAATAAAAATGTTAAAATTGAAAGACATTTCTAAAGTCTCACGTTTCGAGACTCATCTATTATTGTTTATTTTCGTTATATACTTTAATATCTTTACAATATTTCACCTTTAATATATTTCAAGACAGAATTATGTATAAAGTCAATTCAATGCAGAGTATATAATTTATAATTCTATATATATATATATATATATTAGGAGAAATCAATATTAAATTGTTACTTATGTTTACTCTTTATTTGTACCGTCCTTGTACAGTACTTTAATGTTTTCTAATATTTTGTAAATATCTTACTG